AAAGAGATATTTCATCAGACATGCAGACCAAAGTTTTCCCCAGAGCACAGAGACCTCTCCTCCAAAACATGAAAACCAAAATCTTTGAGCCAAAATCTAAGAAAATCAAAATGACTTTTTTTGTTTGTTTGTTTGGGGCCAGGTTGAAGCAAAGAAAAAAAAATCAGGCAGGGGAAGTGAATCTGAACGTTTTGTTTTGGGATGCTTCTTTACTAAATGGGGCTCATTTTTCCTGGGATGGTGCTTCACTGGAATTGTGGTTCAGCTGCATCATGTACCCATATGGAAGGAACTATGTACATCTCACAATAATTCTTAATCAGCTTCCTCATATTACTGTGTAAGTAGGGACATGTATCTATTATTTATGATGATGATGGTATGCAATATGGGAAGCCATATTTGTCAGAAAGGCAACATGGATGGCAAGTTCCATGAACCATTGCTGACATGAAACATTCCAATTCATAAATGTCAGAACAGTAGTTTTGTATCAAAAGTGTCAAAATACATAGTTCCAATCAACAAATAAGAGTTTATAGCTTGAAGACAGCAGATGAAAATTTTCAACAAAAAGTTGGTTTTTTTAAAAAAAAAAAAAAACAAAAACAAACCAAAACCAAACAAAAACCAGCAATGTGTTCGATATTGTAAATTCCTAAAAACTTTTAAGGAACTACAGAATCTTTTTTGTATATGTGCATGAGTCTGATCAAATAGAAATTTTTCATTTTTTGAACTGATTCAAAGTATTTAATTTCATTATGTTATATCTCCCCAGAATATTTCACTGTATTTTTTCCATGAACCCTTCTTTCTCCAGGACCCCTGCCAATGCTGTCAAGGCTTTTGTGAGAAGTTGTATTGAACTATTTGCAAAACTGCAGTGGCATTGCTGTTGCAACTTTTTTGGTGACTTTTTTTTAAAAAACACCCGTAATCAGGGTATGGCTTTTTAAGATCCCAGAAGGGTCAGCTACCTCATTCAGAAATGTGTGAGCTGATGAGATAATCTTCATACCACTAAGCCCTGGGCATTTTAGTGTGCACTGGTGTTGGTGGGCTTTGAGATATTTATGCTGCTGCTAAGTCTGTCTACTCCATGTGTCATAAGAGAAGTAATTCTAGTTAATCCAACAGTTAACAATATCTTATTTTAATTTTCTGAGACAACATGGCCCAGGCACCAGGAAAACAAAGTCAGAAGCAAGGAACTTGGATCTGCCAGTGTCGTATTTAATGATGCTGGGCAGATCACTTAATCTGTTTATGTCTCAATTTCACCCCCTATGAAAAGAGGATAATAATAATATTCTCTGCGTGTGGTTTGACATCTCCAGAGAAAAGGTGTTGCATAATAACAAGTGTTATAATTCCTGTTACTTTGCCTCTTCTGTTTGAGGCAGGAGGGCAAAACCAGCAGCCCACTCTGTACTGATGCAAGATGCTTCCTGTGCCAATGAGATCGTATATCTAAAACCGGGAGCTAATCTAGTTCTGATAATCCTCTCCAGGGATTATCTGGGTTGTTTGTCTGATATAACTTTCCTTAATTTATCTGGACTTCCTGGGGCTACAGAGCAAGAGTGCTCACTTCACAAGAACATAAAACAAGAAGTCTAGCTGTTCTGGCAAATTCTGAGAGCACAGACATGAAACAAAATTACAAACAATAGAGCACCGTGGTTTTTCCCCCAAACCTGGGGGCAATTCCCTCTGCGAGGTTGCGGAGGGGCAGGACAGCGCCCGGGACGGGCACGGGGCCCGTTCGCTGTAACGGGCCCTGTCCAGGGTGCTGACTCCCGGCTCCACCGCGTTAATCGGAATTAAAAACCTCATCAGGTGGAAGCAAGGAACATTACGTTAATGCAAACGTGGCTAAAAATCCCAGTTTGAGGGATCTAGAAATTTACGGCTAGCTTCAAGTTGTGTTTTGGCAAACAGATTTCTAGCCATTTTTTTAATAGCGGACAGCAGTGAAGATCTGACCCTTGGATAACAGCATGGCAGGGTGAGTTTTTCTTTTAACAAAAATCTGGCTTATTAGTGGCTCTTCCTAAGCTCAGCTGACGTGGTATCAGTTGCAATAGCAGAGGGAGACATTAAGCCTGCACATTTTTTATGCAGGAAGTCATTAACATTTTATCTATTTAGAATTGCAGGAAGACGTTCATTTGGCGCAAAGGTGAGTTTGAATTTCACTATATTTGAGATTAAATCAACTGGCTCATGAAGTGCTATGGGAACTTGAAAGGAAACTCAAATGGCTTACCCCCAAATTCATAACTCTTCTTAAATTCAGTACAGGCAACAGTACAATGATCATTTCCTGATTTATTTGCTCAAAGGAAAGACTATCCTCAACAGTTTCCTGCCAGTTCTCCTTTGGAGCCACTGATTCGAGCAGTAATATGAAACAACTTTACCTGTCTTAAGAAAGCTAGTAGAAGATACAGCTGTAAAACCCTAGCAGCCATTTAATTTTTCCTGCATATTTATTCCTTTGGCTTATCAAGAAGAAAAAAAAAGGGTTTCTTTCTTCAAAAAAAAAAATTAATTTGTTTTGTTATGATTTTTTGGGTTTTTTTACCTAGACAAAAAGCCAGAGATGTCTTACCTGCCTGCTTTCGTGATGATCATCTCTGTCCCAATGTCATGAAATCTTTTCCAGAGGTCAGCACACTGCAGCTCTACCTGGATCTCTTCCATGGATGAAGGTGGAGGAGGCTGAGGGCCTGAGCCACCAGATGTAAGGTCAGAATGGGAGCCAAATGAGCAGGACGTCCTTTCTGCCAGCACCTCTGTGTCTGATCCAGTGCTCTGCTCCGAGTCTGCAAAGTAAACACGCCAGGTAAGACACTTCAGTTCTACCTGCTTCAAGTGGTAGAGGGCAGGAAGAGGAAAGCCAACAAGGGAAGTGCTAAAGAACAGTACAATGGTCTTTTATATATATACATATAAAAACACATATATATTTATGGTTTGTTGTGATTTATGGCCTGATTTGGGGCTTTGGGTTTCCAACATGACATCTGGCATTTTTGTAAAGTTTTAGAAACAGCTGAAAAAAAAGTGACCCTCAACATAAAATATAAATAGTAACAAACAATGCTGGGAATGGAGGACAAAATATAGATTAAAAAAATAGAAATGAAAAAAAAATTAATTCAACCCATAGTTTCAATCCAAGATTAGATGGGCTCACTGGAAAAATACATTCCATTTAATTGAATATCCTCCCACACTACTATTGAAGAGTTGGTTATTTTTAAACAACGCATTTTTTTTCCTTTTAATATCCTTGTCATCAAAAATAATGAGCATTTTTTTATTTTGCTATTTGGCAGCACCATTTTAGAAATGTGTTTTATTTGCTCCTATAATATCTTTTTTGGAACAATGATATTTCCTGGGAAAATAACCATGCAGCTTTGGTGAGGAAAATGCTCTAGGCTACTGAAGGACAAAAAAGGGGAGATAGTAAACATATGGAATATGTTACCAAGGAAAGCAATTGAAGCAAACTGCAGAAAAGAGCACATAAGACAACCACCTCTCTTTAGGGGGGAGGAGAAGAAGCAGGCGGCTTGCTCAAAAAATAAGCAAACAAACAAAGAAGTGAGGTTGGACTAGTTGAAAAGTCCAGGTTGGCATGTTGAGTCAGATGGCCATTTCTTTGCAAAAATATCTCATGTATGTATTAGGTAGGTATGGTATACATATGGTCATAGTTCTCATATGGTAGGGCTAAGATGGAATTTTGCAAATAGCAGTGTTAGTTTGCAACAGGGTGCACGCTCACATCACATCAAAATAATTCGGAATACATTCTGCAAAGCAATGTGTTTATGTTTTGAACCTGATTTTTAAGAAATTGGCACTAGTATTATACAGGTGATTGACAGAGGAATAAAGTGATGTGAAGCACTCAGTCAAATGGCTCAAGAAGAGCTCTGTGGATTTCAAAGAAGGTACATAAGCAATACTTTAGAGTGTCCTCAGTGATCACGTAAGTACAAGCACTCTAGTGAAGGAATAAAACAGCTATTTATATATATTCTCTGCACTTTAAGAAAGAAAGAGATATCTCTGTCTGCAGGGGAAATTTAAGGAGACAAAAAGTAACAATATGTGTTAAAAATGTGATGAAATCACCCCAGCTAAGATTCCTTCCATACCAAGCAAATGCCAGAAACTCCTTAATATCCCTGAGGTCATACAGGCTGAGTCTCAGATGTACAGTTTTTCCGAGAGACAGTGTCTCCTGGAGCAGCTCGCACATCAGTGCAGAGGGCTATAGTTAAGAAGAGGCTGAGGCTGAAGATGCCACCTGCAGAACCACCAGCCCCACCTCCTGCCACATGGAAACATTTCTGGAAAATTCATACTGCTGCAGTGGCATGGACATAAACTGTTTAGCTGATAGCATATGAGAAACTTCCAGTCCCAAGTGCCATCAGGAAGCATTTATCTTCTGTGAGAGCCCTAGGTGATATGTCATTGGATAGTGAACGTCTTGCTTGAAGGACATTTTCAGTAAACTTTGCCAATGATTTAGACAATCTCCCAGTACAATGCAGAAATTCTGTAGGACATTAGAAAGGTCCGGTAGGTACTGCTCCCAATCCATTCTGAATATGGAGTCCTTTATGTCTCTCATTGACTTCCAAGTTGGGTTGAAGCAATAACAGGTCCATCCCTCTAAAGGAGTAGCACAAAGCTAGCAACAGAGGATTGTTACATGGAGACCAGTACTACACCCCAAACTGATATCCTAGACACAAGCTGATCCAAGATAATATGAGATAACCTGCTGGGGTTCTGTGACAACAAGACAGAGAATCAATCAAATTATTCTACCTCAAAGGGTTGGAGAGGGTAAGCCTGAGCAGGGGTCACTATCTTTAGGACATTTATTCTCCTAGTGAAGGTTAATCACGTCATCCTTCAATAAAAAGCAAGAGTATGCTTCACAAATCACAGTAAGACCTTTTTGTATATCTACTTGTGTGCTGAACCACTAACCAAAAGTCTTACATCTTCTTTGAGGTCCTAAGGAAGTAAAGGTAAAATACACTGAGAGTCTGAAGAGACTGGACCTAGGGAAAACTTCTATTATGGAGTCCTCCTCCCGAAATGAGGTACTAAACTGCAGGTTTGAATCTAAAGAGACTGGTTTAGGCCACATCATCTGTGCTTGGTTCAGGCACTCAGAAACTCTGGGCATCCTCTGAAGCAGTATGGTAAATGGCCAACAGATGGCACTTGGCTGGAGGTTACCCCCACATCATTCCAGCATTTCCTGGACAGCCTTTCAAACTGGGCATGTGGCTGGAGCCTTGGGGATCCCTGGGAATTGACTGGAATTGCATGCTGCAGAAAATCAAATATCAGAGGCTTAAGCCCCCTGTCACTGATCTTGTGCTGATATCATTCCCCTGACTTTACAGACTTTTGGAGGGCTTTTTTGACAATGATGGAAGTGGAAGGAGAGCCACAACCTTTGATATAATTTGCCATGCTGCCACAAATCAAAAATTGCAAAAGGAATTGACTAATTACTGATAAGCCAGTATCTACCCCACCATGCAGTACCACATAATGGAGAAAAGAATTTTTTTTCTTCCAAGGACTATTATTTTGTGCCATCACAAAAATTTGTGCCCTGAAATATGATCTATTATTACCCCCAAATTAGCGCACAGAACAGCAAGCACCTCTCCTTCCTCCAATTTTGGAAATGGGAGAGGGAGAGTCATTAGTGTTGCTGCTCTCACTTCAGTCTCAGTAGGCACTTAGATGGGTTTTGTGTTTTCTTCAGCCTTTCCTGAGCTAAGCCCTCCTGAATGGTGTTATCCAGTTGGAGACACTGAGTTCATGCCAGACCCATGGAATTCAGGGGAAGTTAAGTGCATCTGACATAGGAAAATCATCCCTAATGACATCTAGCGCTGTAAGACTCTGTGACTCTTAACTAGAGTTCTCTACATGTGTTAGGATTCTGAATTACCCAGGAGACATCTGCAAGCAAGCAACATACAGAGGAGCGCAGGGTGAATCAGTCTCAATATGTAGTAATTAATTGTGGAGGCTGGCATCTAGCACAGCTCAAGCCACTCTGCTGCACATACTTGCTCACAATGAAACAAGACAGGAAGAAGATCTGAGTTTTCTTCTGGCATTCAAACTGGGAGCTTGGTTTTCCTCATGCGCCAGCTTCAATGGGGTGCAACTTTGCTAAACTCGGAGACATTACTTCTACTTGATGTTAGTGTAAGCAGAGGGGAATTAGGGAATAGCTCCTGAAGCTCCAACAAAATAGAACGTGCCATGACCACCCTGAGGTGCAGATTCTGGCTGGTAATACGTATTGTGTCTGACTGAAGGTCAAACAGAAGGATTTCTGCAGAAAGTAAGCTTCCCATAATTTCCTCTAGCTCCAAAGTGACAGGATAAGATTATTTGCATTTCCTTAAAGGGGTGCCTTATACAAAAGCCCACATGCTGAATTCAAGGTCCAGCCACAGGGAAATGCAGACGCCCCATGCAGCGGCTTCCTTTCAGAGTTAGGAAACCTTCTCAGGCTACTACCATAGGAATGCTGGTTCTCTGGTGCCATGTTAGGTTGCAATCCATGCCACTTCTGGCATATGTTAGGCAAGCAGCAATTAAAATAGTTTTATGTTTTTCTCTTGCTAGGGTAGAGTACAGTCCTTGAGAAAGGATACTTCAAAACCAAGCTCATCCATTGCTGGCAACTAGCAAAAGTGGGAGTAGATGCAGTTGAGGTTTCTAAACCGACAGTATTCCATGGAGCTTTCAGTTGAGACAGCCTCTGGTCAAAACATTCCTCGTTGCTTTTACGGACACCCATGAACTTGCACTTTCTGATCTTACCTACTTTTCTCTACAAGGTTCATCCCCTCACCTGTCTGCTTGAAGAAGGGCCCTTCCTGCTGCACCATAGCTATTGAGGTGAGCATCTCCAAAGCTCCTGCTGACTGCACAGTTCGTATCACTCTGCCTCTTTCACTTCCCCCTTCTTGCAAATCTCGTCTAAAACCATCCATTTCCACTCTTGCTCCTTCCTTATGTTCTTTTTTCTGATGTTTCCACTGATTATTTCTGCTGTTCTCTGGAGTGATGTGTAGCCAGAAGAAAACACAGATATTTTGATCTGTGTGGAGAAGGACCTGGTGACCACAGGGGAATACCAATGCTTAACTCCTCCAGACTAAGATGTTCTCCCCAGAGACAATACAGAGAAAAGTTCCTAAAATACCGTACCTTGTTACAGGCAGCTTGCCTGGACAAACAGGCTGACCAAGTGTTTTTGACCATGGGATCAGTCAAAAACAAACAGGCTCTTGCAAGCATTGTGTTTCAAGGAGCTCAAAACTATCCGATGTGACACTACTGAAAAGTTCATGGAGAAGATCCATGAGTTCATGTGCAAAAAAACTCTCTGCGGCCTGAAGCATAGCTCTCTTTCACTGCCACTTGCAAAAAGGCTGTTCCCTTTCTACTACCCTGTGGGATGGCTTCCTATCATCCCTTCTTACCACGCTGACCACGTGTCCAGCTACTGCAGTTTGACAGTGTTGGACCTGGAGGAGAGGAAATTTCTCAGCACTTTCAGCAACCTTTGAGCCTACCAACAAGACCACAGGGTCACTTTCAGAGCTCCCAGGGACACCATGGCCATTGCTGAGATTACAGAGCAACATTAAACTAGGTCAGATTTTTTCTTTCTTAATCCCTTTCCCATTCCTACTATCTCCAGATCGCTCTGGAAATCCTCAGCTCATAATTTCTTTTGATCCACAAA